TGAGCTGCACCCCCTGCACACCCCCAGCCTCAAGCCGCCGGCTCTGCCGACGCCGGGGATTCCTGCCGCTCACGCTGGCCGACGCCAGATCTGGACGCAGCGCGGGATCATCAGCTCTGCCAGAACCGGGGCTTGCACAACTGGTTTCACAACCCGGCTCTGCCCTGCCCGGGAGAAGCTGGCCCTTCACTTTGCCCCGCGATGGTAAAGCATTAACTCGGTTTGAACTCCTCACTGGCTTTTAGCTCACTAGTTCCTCTGCCATCTTGCTGCAACCACGTCCCTCATGAGCTTCTCCCAAAGCAGACTCCCGCTTCCAGCACCCCGTGCTGCCTGTTCCTGCCTGGACTTCCCCTGCTCTAAGCTAAACTCCAACCTAAATTAGATTAGAAAAGCCACATTATTCCTCCAGAGACGAGAGAAGCTGCCGTGCAGTTAATCAGTTAGTCAACAACGGGGTTAGACATCAAGTGCATGGTGGAGGAGGACCCCGGGGGTCCCTTTAGAGAGGCCCCCCCGAGCCTGAGGGTGATGGGAGGGAGAGGGCTGCGACTGCCTCCCTGGGCAGAGGGGTTCAAATCAATTAGCGGCCCGGTGACGCATGCGAGGCCCCCCCGAAAATGGGGAGAAAACCAAAGTCTCTTTCCCACACCTCAGCTCCATGATTTAAGCATCAGACCTTTTGACTGCAAAGGGCATATTTTTATAGCAGGGAAAGCTGCTGCTTGCTCTGTCTATGCACCAACGTTTTGGGATGGGCAGGCACTCAGCTTTGCAGCTGTACGGATCCTACTGAAAAGGGACGGAGCTAACACAGACCGCCGGGGTTTGCAGGGCCCCCGCTCCCCTCCCTGTTGCTCCAGAGCCTGCACAGCTCTGTGCTAGAGCTCTCCCAACCAGGGCAGGGGGAACGGCACGAACGGCAGCCAGCACATCTGGTCTGCTGAACATCCACAGCAAGAAAGGACCCAGCATCAGAAGAGAACTCGGAAAGCACCAAAAGCGGCAGCCAAGCAGGTTCATGTTTTTGAGACAACTTCCCAAAGGACCAGGCTGGTCCCACCACCACAGCATTTCCCCTACACCAGGCTCCTCAAGTCCTCCCGCCCCGTTGCTGCACCACCACGAGCTTTCCCCACTCCGATGCCTCC